GCTTCAGTCGTTAACACGTAATTATCAGGGTCAAACGGCAGATCTGTCGGTTCCGCAAAAATCAGGTACAGGTACTTGAATGTCTCCGAAAGGACAAATGAGTCCATCCTAAAGCACATCCTCAATAAGGACTTGCGTTGATAAGCAAGTTACCTGTCTTCATGCGACATAGTGCGCACGTCTTTTACCCCAGCAAATCCGCAGGGAACTCGAACGAACTCGTTTATACTCTCCATCACCTGACACATATTTTTTCACGGTTATCGTTATTTGAAGGTTTATAATGGCATGTGAGTGATCTATGCAACAAACCTATTATTCGGTGATCACGGGGACGAATGACTGGAGAGAAGGAAAAACAAATCGTACGAAAAAAAAAACAGAAAGATCTGCTTACCTGCTTGGCAACATCGAGATAGTGTGGATCCTTCGTTGCTCGGTATAGGAAATACGTGCTTTCAATAAATTCAGGGCGAATGGGATGCTCGCCCCAATGTACTTGAAAATCGTGAGTGAAGGCCTCAGGTAGGAACTTGTGTTTCTAGATTTTACGCGCAAGTAACAAGCACGGTAAAGAAGAACGTAGATACTAACCCTAACTACTTGAAAAAGCATCTCATGCATCTCAACTGCTCTTCTCACATCACCTTTCAAAACCTAAACATGGAGTTTGCTATAAGTTCCGCGACAAAAGCTTTTTATCAAGTGGCAAACCTGTAAGCCGGGCCAAAACGCCAGAAGAGCATCCATAAAGGAACGCGTAGCCACCGTAGGTCTATGCATGTGTACATCCACAAACAGCGGTCCCTTATTGACGTAGCGCATCACAGCTTCATAATGCTAGAGAAAAACCAAGTACATCTTTTCTTGCGGAATCATACTTGAAAAACTCACGCGATCGAATCTCTCCAGAAAACTTTTGTCACCAAGAAGAATGTATGCCTTGAGACAGTATTCATAATAAGAGTCAATGCCCGCACCTATTCCACTTTCTAAAAAAATATCATTCCTCAAAATAATGTAAAAAAGTCAAGTGGCAAGGTACCTCTTCGGACCCAATCTCCCGAGTGCACATTCAAAACTGTACCCATCAAATCCGAGGTTCGATGACGCTGAGCCCATAAGAAATCCATGGCTTTTCTGGCCTGGAAAAAGACGACATCGTGTTTATTCTTATGGTTTTCTGCGAAC